TGACTTTTTGGGATGTAGGTTAGGGTTCCTCATTGGTCTAGCTTACTCAGCATGTTGAGTGATGCAGGAAGAGATGTACCTGTCAATCTGCAACACTGCAGCTGATGTGCCAGATATTCATTTGCCAACTGGGTTACTTTTCATGACAAGGAAAGACAAGATGAACCCTTGAGCACACATGGGCCTGTTGTAGCCACAGTCTGCTGGCAAAGGCTTGGTGACAGATGGACTGTGAAGCTAAGGGACAATACTGGAAGAATTGGGTGTGAACAGGCAAAAGGAGGCTATTATCAGAGCAGGTAGCCCGTGTAAAAATCAAATCTTCAATTAAAGAAACAACCTTACTCAGCCAGGCTATGTACCATGGGATGACTGTGATGGGAACATGGCATCAAACCAAGTAGGCTGTGATGTAAGCTTGTTGTTGGTGATGATGATCGGGCCTACGCTTGCACTGGTTATAGTCGTCTGGCCCATACAGCTATAGGACATGAGTAAAGAAAGCAGCGTATCACATGATATGGGTAATGAGCACGTCGCAGCACCATCATCATAAAACTTGTCGTCTTTACTTGATTGGTGGGGCAATATAGCCTATCATTATGGATTTTCATTTCTGAAATAGCCTTACTTGGTAGTAACAGATAATATACGAGATGCGCGTTTCACTACGAGTATTTACTCACAGAATCACTTGCGTTTTTACGCAGCTGCTCCTCCTCTTTCACCTCCGCGGCCGGGTTCACCACCAGTTTTTCGAAGCACGCCGAACCAAGAGAGGAGCTCTTCTGCTGGTACATGATCAGCTGGGACACGGGGAGTTTGGGGCTTCCGTGCGCCGTCAGCTCAGGCTTGCTCCCTGTGGTTCCAGATGCTGCGCCAAGGGGCTGCCCGACTGTGCTGGTCCCGGGGACCGAGTCGCTTCCAAGACAACCATCTCCTTCAAAAGGTGCCGGCGTAGAGCAGCACAGATTTGGCTGAGACGACGAAAACACCCGGTCCAACTGTTTCTTTTTTCTTTTGAACATCCATAGCCCCGATTCCTTTTTGCTGCCCTCCGCGCCCCCGGCACCGCGACGCTCCGATCCCAGTTTAGGACTCAGCCAAGGCTTGGTTTTCTCCTGGAAATTCTTCCACATTCTCCGCTGGTAGGACAGAGACTCCTGTCCTTTAGCGCTGCTCTCATCTTTAGGTGATTTTTGGTCCATGGTGCCTGTGCAGCAGCCAGCCAGCCTGAGCACACTGTAGTGGAAGGATGTCACAGTCGGACTACTGCAGCTCGGGAGCACTTCCACTGATAATCAGTTTAGAGCGCCAACAAGGAGACGCGCAGTGTAGTGAGGAAAGGGGTACTAGTTTCTCCAAAGAACCTTGTAGAATGCCTGTACAGGCAGCGCTGTAAATTTTATGACACACTCTGCAGCACGCTTGTTAGGTGGCACGCACCAGCCTAATCTATTTAAGATTTTTATCACGTCAGTGGTGAAGTTGGAGCACATGCAGTGACTTCTGAAAATTACATAAAAATGCTTGGTAAATGCACGGCCTAGTTGTCGGTTTTTCGTTCCTGCTCTATCTACTGCGCTAGCCAGGGTAGAAGCAAACTTCCCCATTTAGTATTATATTCAAATAATGGACGAAAGGGACCCCGCCCCTCCAACTGGCCAAGCATGCTGGTGATTGCATAACGCAACCAAACAGTGCCTCGTGGAGATGTTTGCATTACAATTCTGGATTTCCAGTTGGCCCCATTGTACATACAGCCTCTCAATTTACACATTCAAAGCACTGCCCTTGGTCAGTGTAGAGCTGACAATAAACATACCAGAGGTTTATTCTTTTTGTGTCAGGTGGATATTTCTGCACTGTAGCTATGTCTGGATATGTCCTTTGTGTTTAATAGGTCAGATCCCAGTGAATGTTATCTCCCACATGCTGCAAGCAGGCAGTACTGAACAGCATCTTCTCTTTTAGGATGCTGC